AGTCGTGGATATTGTCTCTCTCTCTTTCTCGTTTCTCCGCACTGTTTCAGCAAGTCTGAAACACTAAGAAAGACTGTTTAAACGCGGATCTTTTCCTTTCGACATCCTCTCATATATTCATTGCGTGTTCTAGAGATTCCGTTCTATTTTTCTTAACTTTTCGCGATTCTTTGTCCGCGTTCATCATTTCAAACTGATTAAGATTTCTCAAATAATCTTTTGTGCCATAGTTATTGCAATCTGCATGGAAAATGTGATGATTGGAGAAATATAGCGATGAAAAAAAATTTTTTTCCACCGTTAATGTTAAATTGAAATGATATTGTTCTAGTAAAATAAAAATTTCGTGAAAAAGTAAGAGAAAAAGTATTACAATTATCCGGGAGAATAACATATAAGCTTTAATTTAAATATTCATGAAATTTCCATGGTTTGCTGATTACTATATTATATGCTAAATGTTTTTAACATTTTTTTCTCATTATACGGCAAAGTTAATCCTTAACTGGTGGAACTTATATCCGCTAAACGAGCACACGTAATATTATTTCATCAAATCGCTGTCGCCTAGAGTTAAAGACTAAAAAAATTATCCCGCGACACTTTTATCCCAACTAAAAAAAATATAATCTTGATTATTCATATTATCCGTTGTGTAACCTTCGAGTCATAAATATAGCCGAGTCAGTTTTCGATAGTTTCGGCGAGAAAAAGATTTCGCAGCGCTCCGAAAGTTAGTTTCCGCAGCGTGTAAGCTCCGCGATCTGCGGATTGCATGCGCGTGCTCTCCGGAAGAAAAGAACGAACGGCGGCGCGGAGGACGACAAGCCAGCGGGTTCCGCGAGGCAAAGTCAAACAAATCATATAAGATAACATTAAAGCGCGACGGCGGCAGCGGCGGTGGAGGCTGTCGCGCGATCGGTGGCGCTGCCGGGTATCGACGATATATACTTGGCGCCTCGCTCGAGTCGAGTGGGTGGATATCTCTCACTCGACAGAGGAAACAAAACGAGTTCGTGAGAGGAGGAGTACGCGGGACGGCTGTGAGGGCACGTAGGTAGAGACGTCGCCCGGTGGACGAAGGGAGACAAGAGAGAGAGAAAGAGAGAGAGAGAGCGCACGACGAGCGAAGGGGAAGCTGAACACCCTGGGGAGCCGACAGCTCGTTACGCGAGACATGGTACAACTATCCCGGCTTTCTCACCCTCTTTGCCTAGGTTTTCCCTCCCCTGCGTCCATCTTTCCCTCTCCACTCTCTTTCTCTTTCTTTGCTCTGATCCATCTCTGTCTCGTCGGCTTCTTCTCCCTTCCCTCTCCTTTCCTCTCTCACGATTCTAATCCGCGTCTCTCTATTTTTTTCTCCCGCTTCTTCGCGTCTCTCTATTTTTTTTCCTCCTTCCGCGATGCCTCTCGAGTTTGCGGCTGTTGGAGTCCCTCGGCGTATATAACGCCCGTATACCTTGCGTGTACGTACGTGTACCACTCCGTAACAAGTGGGTATTATACCGGGGCGGGCGATGCCATTACTGTCCCGGCCAGTCGACTAAGGGAACGGCGTCGCGCCATCGATGGCGAAGCGCAGTTTATGCGTCGCGCTAGTTACTCGTCCCTCGGCTCGCCCATAGTTTTCCAGATCGCGGTTACGACGCGAGTTATCGCGTCGTATTATCGCCAAACAGGAGTTTCCCCACCTAATTGAATTACGTAAAAGTATCCCATCGCGGTTGGACGCACTCACGACGCTTCTCCGCCAATGAAATGGAATGTGCGTTATGCAAGCTGCTTCAAAGACATATACTTCTACAATGAGATTTCAACTATTCGCGTGGTAATCGCAAAAATCCACATGTCTCAGAATAATTAAGTAAACTTTCTTGTTTTTCGCATAGCAGAGTTGATTATCACACATTGTCTCGGATAAAAAGAATATTTTCGAAATGAGATTATTTAACAATCACAGGGAGGATATATAAAATTTCAAAGTACGGATAAAATATTTTGTTAATTTATATACATATATTATGTAATGATAATATAAAATAATTTCAATGATATTCTCTCTCAGATAAGCAGAATTTATTTCATTTTAAAAGCAAATTTTTCTGCACAGATCGCGTCGTACATTTTTGATTAAAAATGAGCCCCTACTTGCCGCAAGCAACTCATTTATTTCTTCGGCCATGAAACTTCCAGACAATTATCTGAAGTACACCTCGTATTTTTCCGAAAAGCGGTAAAATTCTCGCTCGAGCCTTTTTTTTCATGCGTTCGCCGCAAAGGAGCGGAGCAAAGGAGCGGCATAAAGTGAGAAAGAGAGGGTTCGGTAATGACTGTCGCTACTTTTCCGCCGTGTCGGAAGCGCATTGCGCCATTTCCGTCAGACCGGAAGTACGGTAACAAAGCGCTTCCGGCATGCAGTCTCAAGGAGGTTGTTACGACGAGCGCGGGAGCACTCGGTGACATTTCAATGAACTTTGCGGCGGGTACTGTTCTACTCCTAAAGTTCAACGGGTCTAACGTGCGTTTCGGGTGTTGACGAACCAGCGGTATTAAGTGTCTTATTGTGCGCCCCCGCGAACGAGCTATATTAACTTGACTCCCAACGTCATCGAGGTGAAATCGCACCTTACGCAGTCGTGCAAAAGCATTAATTTTATTCTTATGACAAAAAGACATTCATCGGTTAAAATATTAAATCTAGCGACCGTGTTCGCTAACATCACGCGTTACATTTTGCTTAACGCAATGCACGTGTTATAAATTCGCAAGCAATTGTTGCTCAGAGTTATTCAGATTCATATTTTTAGAGAATAATAAATACAAATGCCATTCTATTATAGTTGAAAAATACAAAATCACAAAAAATATTGATACAATCGCATATGTATCCCGATTGAGTAAAGTATATTTATTTCCTAGACTCGCGACAAGTTATCGTATGACGTTTCGCGGCAAACGCACGCGAGCGAGAAAAGAATTTCCCAGCATTGTTTCCGATCTCAAAGTGCACAACTTATTCAAACCTTTGCAGCACGAAGGCGTAGAATAAAGGGGGAGCCACGCCATTTTATGAAAATTACATCTCCCATTTCATATTCGCCTTCCGAAACGGTAGACCCGTATATGTTACACCCGTTACACACATTACATGCCGCGCGCGATTAATGCGCCGGTTGTGTTATTTCGAATACCGCACATTCGCATATTAGCTTACATGGCCTGCGGGATAAATTTCGTATATCGTATACACCGGAACGTTCCAGTTCTAGAAACTCTGATTACGTAGTTGTCAATTGAATCATGTTGCGCGATGCTTTATACGAAATTGAATTATTCAATAATAAAAAAAGTGTGGCTTATTATTCACGATCCAAGTTTTGAACTCGAGTCTTCTTCAACTCTTAAATCTAATTAATTGCTTTATTTTATTCAGAAACATAAATTTATAATATTACTTATGTAAATCTTAAAAGTGGAAATTTTTTAACCAAGAACTAAAGTAATCAAACATATAGAATAAAAGATATATGAATTACTTGATTCCGATATTAAATCTCGGAATTAAATTTCGGAAACTTTGTCTGCGTCGAAAAGTTATCCTCATTTTATATTATTCCGAGAATATTTTATTTGTCACGGTTAAAGTTTTGGAAAGTCGTGATTTGAAATTTTGGCACTGAAATATTCTGCGTTTGTGATAGATGAGATTTAGTTGAAACTTCCGAGCAAGGTTTGTCGTATGCAACATAAAAATGACGTTTGTCCTGATTTCAAGTCCGCACCAAAAGGCAGTGTCCTATTTTTCGTAACTTAAGATTTATTTTTCTCGAGTTGTGGCAAATGTTCAATCCCGCATTGTCTGACACTTCCCGATTGTTGAGACGCGTGATTACTGGCGGTACTCGCTGCGTCGTGATTTCAGCCACGCATCGTAAATTATGTCCCCACGGATTTTACCATCGAAATAAAACGCTGGAAGAGGGGTCGCGAAGGGTACAATGATGGGGATGGAGGTGAGTTGGCTGCGCGCACGCGTCGTGAAAACGTAAAAATGCGATAGTAGTGGACGAAGGTAGGAGGAGGATACAGAGTCTGGGTAATAGCCACGGTAGAAAGAGAAAGAACGCGCCGACCAAGAGAAGAGGAACGGGTACAATTAAAATTAGCGCAATTCAGTCACTCGCCGGTAATTCGCGTGTCTGGCATTTATATTATTAAGTCGCGTAAATTTCTCTCACCACTTCACTCTTCTCTGTACATGTGCACTCACACTACGTTCCTATTCTCTTCTACTCGTTCTATCGGCTATTCCACTCACACACATTTTCCGCGTCGTCCTTCTCGCGCGCGCTTTGTCGATGCGGTCGAATGTCGCTTCGTTGCTGCGATTATCCGCCAGCAAGGAAATAATTCCGGGTTTCGAACTGAATTACATTTAATTGCTCTTATTGCGAGGACGAGAGGGCTTTATTATTCCCTCTTCAATCACGCCCTCCGAACGCGCCGTCATTCGACTTTTTAAGCTTGTACCTTTCCGGTTGTCCCTCCGGCAGCTACGCCGCCGTCGCGTTTCCGCGCTCGTGCTTTTTGTACTCTGCTCTCTTTTGCGGCAAAAACGCGCGTTCCAAATGAACATAGCGCGAGTCTAGCTACGAATAATTCTCGTTAACCCCGCTATTTCGCTCCGCCTACGTCATCGGCCGGAAAGATCGCTATGATAAACGTTAGCGTCAACTCGCTCGTGCACGAATAGGCGAATTGTTTCGATTTTTCATATTAGAGATTATTAGATTTTTTACGGTTTTACGAGATCAAATTATTGACTGTTGAAAAAAATTTAGTCAGATAGTTTTAATACTACTGCGTATCGTCTTGTCAATAGTTTTAATTTAGCTCTTAGTTATTATTTATCATATTTCTTCATCGAAGAGGAAGGCATTCATATTATAATAATGACATATCATTTAAACTGGCAGTATAATATAAATAAATTTTCTTACCTTTGGATGTGTTCTCCTAGGAAATGCTACCTTTGGGTCGATCTAAAACAGAAAAAAAACCATCGAATTAAATATCTGAAACTCGATTAATATAGAAATACAACACTGTCATAAAAAGCGATAAATAATAATCTTTGTGCAATAACTTGTAAGTTTCTCGATGATAAATCTCAAATAAACTGTCTTGTAATCCCTGAGTCTGCAACGAGAGTATAACCTGGAAAAGAACATTACGCGCCACATGCGAATTCAAACTCGGCGACAAATCTTATTCGCTCGCGAGTTTGCGAGGGCAAAGAGAAGAAACAAATATGAAAATACGTATTATGTGCGAGCGCAGTGGGAAAACGCAGAAGAGGGAGGAAACAAGAATGAACGAACAAAGGGAAAAGCTCTCGCCGGATTGTTTTCCCAGTTGAAATCCCCATTACAATTAATTACATAGTAATAAAGAGTAGGTGCTCGAGAACTCCGAGTCGACTAACCGAACTCTCGCCGCCGCCGCCGCCTCTTTTCACTTCGCGGGCGATCCCGAGGGGGATGAACACCAGCTAAGTCGAACATAAGCGCACCTTACGTTCCGCGCTTCGCTAAAAGCGAAGGCCGGAGAGGCCCCGAACGCCGTGAAACCACGGAACTTCCGGCGCGACAGCCGCGTAAATTTCCAAAGCGGCGGACCGACCCACTCGAACGCTCATTTTCGTCCGCCAATTTTTCCGAGGCACTTTATTCCGTCATATAATATTTGCAAAAATAATATATTTATTAATTAATAAAAGATTAACGATCTCAATGGCAGACTGAATTTTATATCATCTAAAGTAAAAAAGAAGCAGCCTTGAAATGTGTAAAATCGAATTAATCCCTTGCATTACTGACATTACTATGCACCACTGTATGTTACACTTGCGTTACTTACAATGCTGCGAGATAAGCAGCATCATGAATGTTAAGCTCATGGAAATCCACGGGAGTATTTATTGTTAATACGAGAATTTACTAGAAATACTACCTTCCTACTTAAACGCGGTGAAGGGATCAGCCAATTCCGCTAGTTGTTCTAATGTTAAATGAAACATCCCTGTCTCGGCGCGCATTTAACGCTAAACGTGACTGCCTAGTTTCGCGTTTTACCATACTTTGTTGCGCGGTTCTATTAAATGAAAAACTGTTTCGAGCCATAACCGTCGTTCTTTACGTGTAAAACTACAATAGAGAAAAAGTTAGCGCGCGATGTAGCGATTAAACATAAATTAATGCTAGAAAGATGTGTTGTACAGCACATTTGTTAAAATTAGAAATAATTTAAAATAATCAACGTTACATTACACAAGAGTGGCTTTTGCTAAAAAAAAATTTTTTTCACGCGTTTATATTCTGAAAACAGTGTTCACACTTACGTTCGCGAAGTTACGTTCACGAACTATAAAATAATCCTCCATTTTCTCATTCTTCATCTCGCGCTTTCAACGACAACGATCGTGATCTCGAATTATTTTATCAGGTCGGCGCAAAGCTTTCATCGCGCGCTCGTAATTAGCTTGGAGAGAGCGTCATCGGTGCACTACTTGAAAAAAAA